GCCCGGGGGTCTCTGCCAGGAAGAGACCATAGACTGATGTTCCCGAACGCCCGTCCGCGTCCCTTGGCCAAGGAGAGGAGAGAGTTGAGGGGAAGGAAAGGAGTTTTCATTGTGGACACGCTGAGGGGGGCAGGCTTGTGTCCGCAGACCACAGACCTGGGTTCTAGCAGCGAGCTGGGTGTGTAGCTGGCATTGCAGGGGCCTAAGGAAGGGGGAGCTGGGCAAAGGCCAGGACCAGTGTGGCCCTTAGGTTGGCCCTGCTGGTGTTGGCCTTGGAGCTATGAGGTGCTGTTTTCTCAGTCTGTGAAAAAAAACAAAGGAGGTGTCAAGCCTGGAGGGTGAAGGGGAGAGACTGTGCCTGGCTGGTTTGGTGACAGTGAGGTGCGAGTTTGTTGGGGGGGGGCTGGGGTAGGGGAGGGCAGAGACTCATGGGCTGGACTTGGGGAACAGGCAGCTCTCAGGTCCCCCTGGGGAGCAGCCAACCCTAAACCTCACTCACAGCCACACCTCAGCCCAGAGCAGGACACCCCCGCCCTAGCTTGGGGTTTGCCCCTCCTTGAGCCTCACCCGCTGCCCCGAATGCCCAGGTCACTGGTCACTCAGAGCAGAGGCTGCTGTGATGATTTCACTGGAAGGAAGGGCCCTTACCCTGGCTGCTCCCCTGGGGGTCCCCCTTCTGCCTCCTGCTCATTTCCCTGATGGGCTGTGGCACCTCTTCTGCCTGACCTGCCTGTCCTGGCTCCAGTGACTTTCCCAGGCTGTCCCACCCTCGGGGGTGCCCCTTCTCCTGAGCCCTGCTCCCCCTGCTTTGAATTATTTGTGTATCTTTTTTCATTATTATTTTCCATAAATGTTATTTTTGCTTTTAATTTTGGGAAATTTTTAATGTCTCCTATTTTTGAGGGGTCATCAAACCCTGAAATGAAATATTTGCTGTAGAAATGAACTTTTATATCAAATTCTTCATTGTTGTTCTCAGAATGAGATGTTTTCTGCTCTCCTCTGCCCTGAATTACTGCTCTTCAGAGGGCAGGGACCAGTGGAGACTGGATTCCTATTGGGGGAATCAGGGCAGGTGTGGGGGCATCACTCACAGTCAAGAGGCCAACAGCCTCCTGCAGGGAGAGGACCAGCAGCCCAGAAGAAGGGGAGACCTGCAAAGAGGAGGAAGAGGAAGCTTCCAGGTCAGACAGGCAGAGGGTATTAGCCACTTCTACTTCCCTGTAGCCCCTCACGGTGGCCTCTGCTCAGAGTGACCAGGGCCTGGGAGGGAGGGGCAGTGGGTCAGGCTCGGGGACATGCCCCAGGGCAGGAAGGGGGTCTCCTGCTCGGGGGGAGGGTGTCTGAGGGTCTTTAGGATGGACTGTTCCTAAGGAGGGGGAAGGCCCTGAAGGCTATGGCCCCCAATGTGAGGTCCTATGTGTCTCCAGTCTCCCTTTGCCCAGCTCCCCTCTCTCCACGCCCCTCACCCAGCTGTGGGGTCCCCTCCTGGCAGAGACCCTGCCCCCATCCTGGGCAAAGCTGCCTCTGGGCTCCTTTCCTTTCCCATCTCCATGAAGGTCTTGATTCTCTCACCTGAGGTCAGCACCCCAGAGAACCTCCCTCTGCCCTAACATGTCAAGAGGGAAGTCACTGCGGATGTGGAGACAGTGATGAGGGTGAAACTGAAAGGAGAGTCTCCGGGTCCCTGGACTCTGAAGCGGACTCAGGGTCCCTCCTGTGCTGGCCTCAAGGGCTTGAAGGGACGGCGCCTGTCGGCAGGGATGGGAGAGCAGCTGGCGTGTCTGCTCCCGGCCCTGCTCCTGCTTGTGGCCCCAGGTGAGGGGGCTGGGCCTGGGATGGAGGCTGCGGGGCTGGGGCAGGACACAGGGTCTGTGGGGCGGGGACGCGCCAGGGGACAGGGCAAGGCCATCCTCCCTGCAGACTCTCCCTCCCTGGGGAGGACCCAGGGTCTCTCACAGGCCCTGCCATGCTGGGACAGAGGGCACCAACCTGGCAGAGGCGCCCTGAGGGCAGAGCCTGCTCCTGGCTGGGGGCCCAGGGTGAGGGGTCCCGAGGGCCCTGGCCTGCTCTCTCCTCAGGAGCAGGTCTTGGCGCAGGGCAGGCCTGTCAAGGAGGCCCAGGCTCTGAGGGCTGAAGGGGCTCCTGGACCTCAGCCCCCAGAAGCTGGAGCCCAGGAGGCATAGGCAAGGGGGCGGCAGCCTGGGCCCTGGGGGAGGCTCAAGGCACATGTGGTACCTGAGTTTGTCCTCTGGAGGCACCAAAACCCAGAGCTGGTCCATGGGGTGAAGGAGCAAGCCAGGCTCATAGGGTCAGGGCTGGGGAGCCAGGCGGAAAGGGAAAGTGGCTGGTGGGGTGAGACATCAGGAGTATCTATTTCTGGGAGATATCAAGGCCCTGGGGAGCCGCTGGATTCTAGACAGATAGAAACTGGGGGCCCATGCCCACAAGCCTCTGCTACTTCTCATCCTCCCTGGGCCCCCTGAGAACCCATAGCCCCAACTCTGGGGCAGACAGCAGAGTCTCTTCTAGAAGGAGGTGGCAATGGGGAACAAAACGGTCCTTTATTTATTCATCCCCAGACTTGATCATCACTTCTGTGGGAGAAAAGACTCTGAAAGCAGAAATGTTTGCCACCTATTTACTGACAAACCTTTTAATTGTGTCACTTTAAGCTAGTGGAGGGAAAGGGGGTGCATTTTGCATATCTAGTGGCTGCCGTAGCAAACAGGAAAAACTGAGTGGTTTCAGTAGCGGAGTGGTTTGAATAAAATGAATCGGGTCTTAATTCAGGATCATACCATAGGTTTTGTGTTATTACACATTTCTGTCCCCTAAAATTGCATCACGTGTGTTGACAAGTCTGACTTGTGTCTGCGGTGGCTCTTCCCGGGTCTGTAACACACCTGCATGTTGTCAGGATGGAGCTTGTTTTCCTTGGGTTGTTCAACGTTTATTTTTGGCTCACAGGGACGTCACTGAAATACACGTGCAAATCTCACTGTCGAATCAATTATGGACTCAAATAGTTTTAATTTAAATCTTTTTTTCCAACTCATTTTTAACAAGCATAAGTTTGATGTTTTTCCTTCTCTCGTGTTTTGGTCTTAGCTCCAGAAGCATCTGACAGGAACACTGAGGACTCGTATGTGGTTCACAGTTTCTGCTGGAATGACTGTAGTACGTCCTTGCTCAGCACAACTTGGCTTTGAGGTTACTATATACCTACAGGTTATTTTAGTTGTGGAAAATAACGTGTGTGCAAAAAAGTGCATGGAACACCAATGTCAATGATCAGCAATGTAGTAGAGCGCGCACCAGTTTCCACGATGACCTGGCATGTGAAGTGTGTGATCACTGACCTTCCAGGAAAGGAGGTTCTGTGTCTTCACTAAGGCTTTAAAATCCGAGGGTGTGGGGCCTGCTCTGGGGCCTGGGCCAGGAGGGTGACCTGGGGGCTCCCCTGGGGCCAGAGGCGCTCCCTGCTCCCCTGAGAAGGTGAGGAGGTGACCTGGATCAGGCCCGAGAGCTGGTCCTGACACGCATCTGCCGGCCGCGGTGCCCTTGGGCGAGGGCTGGGCATGGGGCAGACACGGGAGCCTGCTGTCCAGGGCTCATCTGGGAGAGGAGACGCCTGGTCCCTGATGAAGGCCATGAATCCCCCGAGTCAGTGACCATGAGGCTGTTATTGACGAGGAGGATCACAAGGAAGGACATAGCTGGAGCCCACTCGGGGTCGAGGAAAATTATAAAATTAGAGTGTTTCAGTGGAGGGCTACAAAAAAGGGGGGGAGCACCAGGGCCTGTGTCCACCCTTACGGGGCTGTGTGAAACCCAAAAAGCTGACTGTCAACAGCACCAAGGGCTGCTCCAGTGGCCTGAGGCCCTCTGGGGATTTCGCATCAGATCCGCGGGGTTGAGAAGCAGAACGGCAGGTGTGGGGTTGAGGTGGGGGTCCAGGCCTGCTCCGGGGCTGCCCTGAGGGGCTGGGCCCGTCCTGTGGGCGCGTCTCTCTGATGGTCAGTCCTGGCCGGTGGTCAGGGAGTCTGGGAGCACTGACGGCAGCTGTGAGATGCTCATGGCCACCCGGCCTCGTCCACCCCAGGCCAAGACGCGTTGCAACTGTGCTCACGCCCATGAGCGCAGGTCAGAGGCTGCACCCCTGGGCTGGGTGCCCTGGGGCTCCGTAACTGTGGAGATTTTTGAGCAGGTCCCGTTTAGTTGTGTCCGTTACTCTGAGTCCTTCAAGCAAAAGCCTGGACTGAACCGCCAAGCTCCTGGGGTCCTCGATCCACAGGACAGGAGAGGACCAGGAGCATGAGAGGGTCTCTCAGCTCTTGCTTGAGTCATTCCCACTGGGTGTAACATCTGCCAACACGGGGAGGAACGAAGGGGCAGCTGTGTCACACCTGACCCTGCTCCTCTCACAAGCCCACCTGTCTAAGAGCTTGCGATAAGAATTGGCAACAGTCAGTGTAGAAAATGTTCTCTGTGTGACCTGGACCCGCAGCTCACGTGGCCACTGAGAGTCACCATCGGTGTCATCAAAGGGGTCCTGCAGGGAGTTTCCAGGGAACCACTAGGAGCAGCGCCCACACCAGGGGGTTCAGGAGCTTCAGCTGCACCTCCTGAGTCTTCATACAAGGCCAGGCACAGGCCTCTGTGGAGATGGTCCTCTGGGATTTGCTCCCCACCAGCCTGACTAACACGGGGACGGCTGCAAAGGGAAACTGCTAGAATACAAAGGTTACCTGACTGTGTGTGTGGCAGGAGGGAATCTGAGGGCTATTAATGCTCAGGGCCAGCCTCTCTGTGTCTCTGACTCTGAGCTGTGTCTCAGGTGCTGTTCCCGGGGCTTTGCCCAGTGGAATGTAGAAGGGCACAGGCCTCTCTCCTGGGGGTCATTCCCTCCATGGCTGCATCCACCTCCCCGACCTTGGGCTGAGGGGGCAGGCGCAGGGCAGGAGGCTGGGCCTGTGCGCAGGTGGGGTCACAGGGGCATGGACGTGTGTTTTCCAGGCACCTCTGCTGTCACGGGTCCAGGCACAGTGAGGGGCTGGGAGCGGGGCTCGCTGACCGTGCGGTGTCGCTATGGCCGAGGCTACGAGACCTATGTGAAGTGGTGGTGTCGAGGGGCTCCCTGGAGCAGCTGCAACATCCTTGTCAGAACCACCGGCTCGGAGCAGGAGGTGAAGAACGACCGCGTGTCCATCAGGGACAATCAGAGATACCGCACGATCACCGTGACCATGGAGGCGCTCACGCGGGGCGATGCGGACACTTACTGGTGTGGGGTTGAGAGAGACAGACTTCCTGACTTTGGGGCCCAAGTTAAAGTGACCGTTGACCCAGGTGAGCGCCTGTGCATGTGGCTGTGTCTCTGCGGCGCCTGCTCTGTCCTGGTCCCTCAGGTCCTCCCCAGGGGTCACTGCCACTCAGGGTGACTGTCCCAGAGGGGGGAGCCTCACCTGGGGGCGCTGGGAGGGGGGGTTCTCCTGGAAGGATCCTTTGTGGCTCACTGTCCTCCTGAGAGGCTCAGCCCCTCAGTCCATGGTCACAGAGGTCAGGTGATGCCTTGGTCAGCACATGGGCAAAGGGTCCCCCTTCCATGGGACCAGAGACCCCAACTCCTTCTGTGCTTTCTTGGTCCTCCTGGCTCTTTCTGGAGATGAAGCTGGGAACTCCCGTGACTATTTCGTTTCATTTTCCACGTGTGCTCTCGGGGGACAGGGCCCAGCTCAATCAGGGGCTTGGCTGATTCCCGAGACCTGGAAACGCCCCCACAGTCAAGGGGCTGCTCCCCTGGGGCCTGACATGCGCCTGACCCCTTTTTGCACCTGGGCTCGTGGGTGTTTTTCCCTGAGTCCTTCTAGAATGCAGACACCCTGGGAAAGGCAGCTCAGGGACGCCTACCTGGGTGTGTAGGAGCTTGTGTTGGGGACCCATCCAGTGACCTCCCCAGGGCACTGTGGCAGAGTGGGGTACTAAATCTGGGACCTGGGAGGCACCTTATGTGCGGAGCAGCTGTTCATGCCCTGTGGAGTCCTGACCTCGTCCTGGGAAGGGCTGACGTCACAGAAGGTCACCCCTTGCCCAGTGTGAGGGTCTCCCTGGACATGGTGGGCTCGGGTGGTCCTGACCTGAGTCACAGGCTGGTTGTCACTGCCAGGCAGCCCTGCTCTGCTCTGCTCCATACTGGCTGGAGGACGAGACGGGGGCTCAGGAGGACTTGGGGGACTCAGGAGCTGCAGGGCTATTTAAGGTTCAGGGACTCCAGCTGCCTGGCCCTGAGCACCTGCCCTTCTGCTCCCAGGACCTGCAGGATGCCCGACTGTTCCCACAGCCCCACCTGCCCCCAGGCTCGTGAGTCTGCTGGAGACCTGAAGGCCTGAGTGGTTCAGCTCTAGGCCCCCCAACCCTAGGGACCCCCAGCTCAGAGGCGCACACAGAGGCGCACACAGGGCTGGGGCAGGCTGGCAGGTATAGTGTGTGTATCTGATTTTGTGCCAAGCAGACACTACAGTGTCCACCACCACCACCATGACCAATGCCACCACCAATACCACCACTGCCACCACCACACCCAACACCACCACCACCACCTCCGCTGCCAACACCACCACATCCACAGCGCCAGTCACCCCAGAAGAGGGCAAAGACTCCCCGACTATAACCGGTAGCAGGTAAGCCAGCTCTGATGTGTCCTGTGCTCTCCTCGTCCTGGGGCTCCCTTGTAGCCCCAGGTCCCGACCAGCACTTGTCTCCGGACCCTCTGAGAGGGAGGCTGAGGGGCTTCCCCTTCTCTCCCAGCCCAGGGGTCAGAGCCTGAACCAGGTGAGGGAGGGGTGGCTCCTTATGGGGGTCAGAGACAGGAGTGTCCCGGCCCCTCTCCCACTTCTGGAGTTGGGGCACCCCCGGCGTCCCCTGGCGTGTGGCCCCTGCACCCTCCATCCTGCTCCCGGGGCCTCTCCCTGCGGGTCCCTGGGCCTCTTTCCCTCTTATAAGGAACCAGTCACTGGACAGGGCGCCCGCCCAGAGCGACCTCCTCACCTTGATGACACCTGCAGGGTCTCCTGTCAGGAGGTCACCCCGGGTCTGAGTGGCCTGGACTGTGGGAGACACTATTCCACCAGCGCTGGGCAGAGCCGGGACCCACTTGTGGACCCCAATGCTGTATTTGTCTTGGGTTCCAGACCCCCTGGGACTGCCTCAGGGTGGGTGGGGCGGGCCTTCTCTCCTCTCTGCAGAGAGTGGGGCATCCCAGGCTGGACACCACAGGCCTGGAGGTCAGAAGGTGGTGTCCTCCCTGCAGCCAGGTGGGTGGGAGTCCCAAGGGGGGAGTTGGGGTTCATGGTCCCCTCTGTGTTTCCAGGGAAATGTTCACGAGGGTTCTCCTCCTCTTGGCGATGCCCGTGCTGCTGGTCCTGACGGCGGCCTCGCTCCTGGCCTGGAGGCTGGTGAGAGGCCTGGCCGAGCTGAGGGACAGAGCCGAGGCCGCGCTGTCCTCCAGGACCTGCTGGACAGGTGACCTGCAGGCCTGGAAGGGGCGTGTCCCATGGGCCACCTGCAGGGCGGGCTGTGGAGCTGGGGGGAGACATGGACCCCTGGGAGCCCCGGCTGGTGGCCCTGTCAGCCCCTCTGTGTGTGATGAGAAATCCCCCGAGGGGTCAGGCAGCTTGAGCAGCCCTTAGTTCTGGTGAAGGCAGCTTTTTGGGGTTCACACAGCCCCGTGAGGGTGGACACGGGCCCTGGTGCTCACCCTTTTTTTTGTTTTGTAGCCCTTCACTGCAACTCTCTTTAAATTTTTCCTCAACCCCTGAGTGGGCTCCCACTCTGTCCTTCCTTGTGATCCTCCTCCTCAATAACAGCCTCATGGTCACTGACCCGGGGGGTTCACGGCGGGCATCAGGGAGAAAATGTCTCCTCTCCCAGAGGGGCCCCCGGACAACAGGCTCCTGTGTCTGCCCCATGCCCAGCCCTCGCCCAAGGGCACCGCTGCCCGCGTGCGCCAGGACCAGCTCTCAGACCTGATCCAGGTCACCTCCTCACCTTCTCAGGGGAGCAGGAAGTGCCTCTGGCCCCAGGGGAGCCCCCAGGTCACCCTCCTGGCCCAGGCCACAGAGCAGGCCCCACGCCCTCAGGTTTTAAAGCCTTAGTGAAGACACAGAACTTCCTTTCCTGGAAGGTCAGGGATCACACACTTCACCTGCCAGGTCATTGTGGAAACTGGTGCGCGCTCTACTACATTGCTGGTCATGGACATTGGTGTTTCATGCACTTTTCTGCAGACCTAAATAACTTTTAGGTATATAATAATCTCAAAGCCAAGTTTTGCTAAGCAAGGACATACTATAGGTGTATTAAATACCTAGGAATAGCCACAGCAGAAATAATTTAGATTTACAGCACATACACAAAAAAATTTTAGAGAGACAGAAAGGTTTAATAAAACAAAACACAAATACATCCAAAACAAAACAAAACATATGTATGATCCTCTTTTAAGATGATATTTATTTTACAGTCTCTCTGGCAGCCAAGGGGTTAAGTCTCAGTGCCATCACAGCCACTGCAGCACCAATTCCCCAACTGCTCCCCTCAGCAGTGTATTCCAAGAGATCTACCTGTTCTGCTCCACACTCTGACTCCAGTGAATCATCTCACCCCCTGCACCTCTGGCCTGCACCCCAGTTCTCATGTGCATAAATAAAAAAAAAAAATCTTTTTTAAAAGACTGCATTTACTTTAAAGACATTCAGTGTCCATTACTGAAGCTACTTAGTTTTTGAATAATGCAGCCTCTTGAATAATGCACACATGTACTCCCTTTAGCTCCAAAAACTTAAAGTGACATAATAAAGAAGTTTATCGGTGAACTTTTGACATTTCTGTTTTTAGAGTTTTTCTTCCACATATGTGATGATCAAGTCAGCGAATGAGAAAATGGTCATTTTATTTCCCATTGCCACCTCCTTCTAGAAGAGACTATACTTTCTGCCCCAGAGTTGGGGTTACGGGTTCTCAGGGGCCCTGGGAGGATGTGAAGCTGCAGAGGGTTGTGGGCATGGCCCCCAGCTTCTATCTGTCTCAGCATCAGGTGGCGCCCCCAGGGCAATGACACCGCCCAGAAATAGACACTCCTGATGTCTCACCCCACCAGCCACTTCCCTTTCCCCCCGGCTCCCAGCCCTGACCCCATGAGCATGGCTTTCTCCCTCACCCCATGGATCTAGCTCTGGGTTTTGGCGTCTCCAGAGCAGAAACTCAGGTGCCACGTGTGCCCTGAGCCTCCCCAGAGCCAGGGCAGCCGCTTCCCTGCCTGTCCCCCCCTGGGCTCCAGCTCCTGGGGGCTGAGGTCCAGGAGCCCTTTCAGCCCGCAGAGCCTGGGCCTCCTTGACAGGCCTGCCCTGCGCTGAGACCTGCTCCTGAGGAGAAAGCAGGCCTGGGCCCTTGGGACCCCTCACCCTGGGCCCCCAGCCAGGAGCAGGCTCTGCCCTCAGGGCGCCTCTGCTGGCCGGTGCCCTCTGTCCCAGCATGGCAGGGCCTGTGAGAGACCCTGGGTCCTCCCCAGGGAGGGAGAGTCTGCAGGGAGGATGGCCCTGCCCTGTCCCCTGGCGCGTCCCCGCCCCACAGACCCCGTGTCCTGCCCCAGCCCCGCAGCCTCCATCCCAGGCCCAGCCCCCCTCACCTGGGGCCACGAGCAGAAGCAGGGCCGGGAGCAGACCCAGGTAGGGCTGTGAAGGCAGTTGCGGATGGGGTCTTTCTCCTGGAAGGTGGGGAGAGCTAGTGCTGCTTTCTCCCCAAGTGGAGTCCATCGAGTCTCTAGATCACCAAACTCCCCACCCAACTCTATTGTCTCCGTCTGACAGAGATCCCTGAACTCCTGATGGCAATTGCCCCCCGCACCCAGCTCTGCTCCTTTTCTTGTGCATCTGCACAAAGGTCTTGCCTCACACAGCCCGAAATTCAGTGCCCCAAACACCCCCTCTTCTCCTCATATGTGAGGAGGAGAAGCAGGTGCAGGTATAACAGGAAGGGAGGAGAGAGAAACTCAGAGGAATTCTCCCAGGTCCTGGACTCAGAAGCAGACTCAGGGCTCACTTCTGTCCTGGCCTCCAGCGCCAGAAAGGAGCGGTGCTCGTCGTCAGGAGCAGCCGCGGACAGCCAGACAGCCGGGAGGGCCTCAGCTGTTACCCGAGACTCGGCGTCTGAGCGAATGTGCGGCAGGGGCGGCTGGGGAGAGCCATGGAGAGCAGCGCTGCCTCTCCCTCTCCCGGCCAAGCTTTATTAAAGACATGAACAAAGGAACAAAACGTAGCACGCCACTGTGTGTTGCTGATCCAGATGAACAGGTTCCTGCTGAAAACAAGCTCCTGTAGCCAGTAGGGCGCGTGCACACAGCCAGCGTGTCCTCAGAGGACAGGAGTGAGGCCTGGGAGAAGTTCTGTTCGCAGAACCTCAAAGGTCTTGGAAGTCCGTGTGCAGAGTGGGCAGGTGCTCTCGGCGAACTCAGCTCCCTCTGGGGCGGCAGACGCCCGGCAAGGAGGCCGGAGACAGGAATTAGGAGCCCGATGAACAAGCCAGAGCGGGGCTTCTGTCCTCCTGGAGCCCGGGGGGTGACAGTGGACCCCCAGCCTGGACGAGCTCTCAGTCCCCTCCCCTGGGATGGTCGGAGGCTGACTGCGGGGCCATGACTGACTGACTGTTGGTCACTGGTGACTGGTCCCTCCCCCCACCCAGAAGTCAGGGGCCAAACTGGAAGGTCAGCCCAACTCTTGGTTGGTTTCCCTGACGCAGCAACACCCTTAGGTGCTCTCCAAGAGACCCTCATGGACGTACAGAGACATCTTAGCTGTCAATGAGGTGAGTTTCCGGATCCTGAGAGCAGCTGCAGGATGGGGCCTGAGACCAAACACAGACTCCCATCCTAACTGCGCCAGTCTAATGCCGACGTGAAAGGGTTGGCACCTTCCTAAAGGCACCCCTCACCCCTCCTGCCATGTGAGGTATGGCAGGAAGGCAGCACCTATGCCATGTAGGGTGTGGGCAGACCATGCCCTGTGCACCCTGATCCTGGACTGGCGCTCCCGGATCTGAGATGGCAGCGTCTGTGTGTCATGAGCGCCAGTCTCTGTCCTCGTGACAGCAGTCCCCGACGTGGGGGTGAGCGTGAAGTTTCAGATCCTCTGGTCGCAGTGGCCCAATGCCCCAAGTCTTCTCTGTCAGAGGCTCAGCTGTCCGGGAACCTCACACTGGACGCCAGCCCTGGGCGTGAACGAGGAAGACAAATCAAGAACACAGGACGGCAGTGGAAGCCCAAGGTCCTGGTGACGCCGCCCACGGCATCAGGGACCCCAAATTCGGGGGTACCAGAGCTAGAGGGCGTGTGTAGATGGGGGCCCAAGGCCCAACACACACAAAAGCTGGGAGACGTTCCTGAGACGTCAACAGACACGCAGACCGTGACGGGGGATTTATTGGCCAGAGGTCGTGCCCACCTGCCAGCAGGGCCTGACCCTGGGGGTGCGGAGGCATCAATGTCACCTGTTCTCGTAGTCAGGCTGACTTTTTCTCCTCCCAGGGCGCCTCTGAGGCCGGTGCACCCAGAGGACAGCACTGAGCATGCCCAGGAGCAGGGGCACCTTCAGGAAGACCAGGAGCAGGAAGTGGATGCTGCCCAGCAGGGAGCTGTGGGGGGACAGGACACAGGAGATGAGCAGCCTCCCGGGCCCCCAACCCCAGCCCTCCCTGGGCCCATCGGGGGCTCCATTGGCTCTGAGCCCCCCAGAACTCAGCCAGGACAGCTCCCCCAGGCCACGGTTATGTTGCTCCAGGGTAAGACTCCTGCTCCTCCTACCCCAAACTTGGCCCCATCCCCTTCCTGCTGCGCCCACCTCCCTTCCCTTCAGCCTGGTCCTCACCCAGCCGGACTCAGGCCGGGCCCTCTGGTCAGTATCACCCTGGCTGCTGCCGTGGTCCCCCCGCCGCTGCTGCCTGTAAACCGGCTGTCAGGGGCACATCCGGGTCACAGCTCAGGGACCTGCCCAACGCCACACCTGGAGAGGCCGCTCTGCTGTGTCCTCGGCCCGTGGGGACCCTGCCCCTCGGTTCTCTATGTTTCATGCTCCTCCCTGTCTGTTCCTGTGGTTCCTGTGACTTTACTCACCTGGATCCCTACCACCCCGGGACCCCACCCCCACAGTGTCTGGAACCCTCCTGGGCCACCCTTGCTTCTCCCTCAGCCGGGGAGCCCGCTCTCAGCTCCCGGCAGTTTGGGGACATCTGAGAGCATCTGACCCAAGGGCGCATGAGGCAGGATGACACAGGACGTGTCCCAGACACTGAGGAGAGGCCGTGGGAGCCCCACATGGACATGTCCCCACCAGGCCTGAGACACCTGTGTCCTCTCCAAGCACCACACCCCTGGGTTTCACGCTGCTCCCTCCCCTGAGCCCTGCCCTATGCCCCCTTGGCACACCTCCAAGGGCTTATAGAAGAGCTTCGAGGGACCCTGAGGAGGAGAACTGTGAAGGGGAGGGGTTCAGAGCAGGCCCCCGCTGGGCTCTGCAGACATGTTTGCAAACCTGAAGGTTGAGTGAATAAGGCCCAGAGTTGTGTGGGAACAGGCGTGGAGAAGCCTCCCTGGCCCCCACCCAGTGCTCATGGAATAGTGTCCCCCACTGTCCAGGCCACTCAGACCCGGGGTGACCTCCTGGACAGGAGACCCTTGCAGGTGTCATCAAGGTGAGGAGGTCGCTCTGGGCTGGCGCCCTGTCCAGTGACTGGTTCCTTGTAAGAGGGAAAGAGGCCCAGGGACCCGCAGGGAGAGGCCCGGGAGCAGGATGGAGGGGCCACAGCCAAGGGACACCAGGGATGCCCAACTCCAGAAGCAGGAGAGGGGCCAGGACACACCTGCCCCTGACTCCGAGGAGAGACACCCCGCCCTCACCTGGTTAAAGTCTGGCCTCCTGAGCTGGGAGAGAAGGGGACGCCCCTCAGCCTCCCCCTCAAAGGACCCAGAGAGTTGGGAGTCAAGTGCTGACAGGGACATGGGCCTACAAGGGGGCCCCAGAGGGGCTTCAGCCCACCAGGTACAAGACTCAGCAGCAACAGAGCTTTCTTACCTGCTAGTGGTTACAGTTGGGGGGCCTTTGTCCTCTTCTGGGGAGACTGGTGCTGTGTGGTGGGTGGTGGTGGTGGGTGTGGTAGTCCTGGTGGTGCTGGTGGTGGGCATTATAGTGGCTGCTCGGCACACAAATGAGATAAACACACTCTGCTTGACCACCTGATCCCAGCCCTGTGATTCCTCTGAACCTTGGGGTCCCAAGGATGCCCTGATTGAGGAGCCTGGACCAGGGATGTTGGGAGGGGTCTGGATGTGTCTCCAGGCTTCAAGCCGACTCAGGAGCCTGGGGCAGGTGGGTTATGGAGCAGGAGGGCATCCCACAGGCCCTGGAGCAGAGGGGCACTCAGGAACAGATAGCTGGACTCTTGTGCTCACCCCATTTCCACCAGTGCCTGGGCGCGGTCAGCAGGAGGGGAGGCCCAAATTCACTGCTTGAAGCTCAGGAGAGGGGACCTTGAAGCAGCCCCTCCCTCAGGGTCTGAATTCTAGAAAGACTCTGAAAGGACACCCTATAGCAGGTGCATGAATGGCTCATGGTGGGATTCCAGGCCCCTTAGGTGCAGCCCATTGGTTATGAAGACGTTTCCAGGCTCAGGAATGAGCCATGGTCTGTGCCGGGCTGTCCCCTGCCTGGACATAGAGCTTGGGAGGGAACAGTGATGATGAGGTCTCAGCCCCAAACTCCAGAAGGAACAGGGAGGTCCCCAGAATCACTGGCAGGAGTTGGGGTCTCTATCTCCATGGAAGGGGGTCCCTTTGCCCATGTGCTGACCAGGTCCATCACCTGACCTCTGTGACCATGGACTGAGGGGCTGAGCCTCTCAGGAGGACAGTGAGCCACAAAGGATCCTTCCAGGAGAAGCCCCCCTCCCAGCACCCACAGGTGAGGCTCCCCCCTCTGGGACAGTCACCCTGAGTGACAGTGACCTCTGGGAAGGACCTGAGGGATCAGGACAGAGCAGGCACAGCAGAGACACAGCCACATGCACAGGTGATCACCCGGGTCAACGGTCACTTCAACTTTGTCCCCAAGGTCAGTAAGTGCTTCTATATCAATCCCACACCAGTAAGTGTCCGCATCGCCCCGCGTGAGCGCCTCCATGGTCACAGTGAAGATGCGGTATCTGTGATTGTCCCTGATGGACACGCGGCCCTTCTTCACCTGGTCCGAGCCAGTGGTTCTAACAAGGAGGTCGCAGCTGCCCCAGTGAACGCCTCGACACCACCACTTCACGTAGGTGTCCCAGCGTGGGTCATAGTGACACCGCACAGTCAGCGAGCCCCGCTCCCAGCCCTTCACTGCCCCTGGACCCGTGATGGCAGAGGAGCCTGGAAAACACACGTCCTTATCCCTGTGACCCCACCTGCGCACAGGCCCAGCCTCCTGCCCTGCGCATGCCCCCTCAGCCCCAGGGCGGGGAGGTGGACACAGCCATGGAGGGAATGACCCCCAGGAGAGAGGCCTGTGTCCTTCTACATCCCACTGGGCAAAGCCACAGGAACAGCACTTGAGACACAGCTCAGAGTCAGAGACACAGAGATGCTGGCCCTGAGCAATGACAGCTCCTAGATTCACACACACACCCCATCGTCAATGAATCTGTGTCCCCAGCGAGGCCCCTTTGCACCAACCCTGGGTTGTTCCATCTGGTGCAGAACAAATCCCAGAGGACCCGCCTCCCCAAAAGAGGCCTGTGCCTAGACCGCACCAGGGCCCAGGAGGTTCACTGACTCCCCTGCACCCCTGGAGTGGGAGTGCCCTCCTGGCTCTGAGCTCCTAGGGGTTCCCTGGGAATCCAGCTGCGGGGACAGCTGTGGGGCTGACCGGGCACTGCTGCCCAGTGGCCACATGCACTGTGGGTCCATGTCACACGGGGGCCACGTCCCCCACTGAATGTTGCCAATTCCCATCGCAAGCTCCTAGCCAGGTGGGCTTATGAGAAGAACAGTGTCAGGCGTGACACAGCTGCCCCTGCGTGCCTCCCCCTTTTGGCAGATGTTGTTACCCCCGGGGGGGAATGACTCAAGCAAGAGCTGAGAGACTCTGACGTGCCTCCTTGTTTTCTCCTGTCCCCAGGGATCAAGG